CTCCGGTGACTGCGCTGCCGATGTCTCCCTGAGTGGCTACGATCGCGTGACCCGGGCCCTCGCCGAGAGAAGGGCTGGTGGAGTGGACGTCTTCCTAAAGCGCTACCGGCCCTTCAGTGAAGAGCTCAGGCGACAGCAGGACCGGACCCAACTCCTGGTCTTACAGCTTGCCGACCTCGCTCCTGATGCATCGCTGCGAACGTGTCCCACTGACGACCCATGCTCATTTGCCCGGAGTGGAAGCTGGGGCGAGTACTGCGGCGTGTGCTTGGTTGGACACGTCTACGCCAACGTCCTCTCGCATGCCGTGTGTACTTCGCCGCTCCGAGACGACTCGCCGTGCGCCTCCGTCTACACCAGTGCCTGCTCCGGCGATGCCGTCCTGGTTGTGACCGTCTACCTGGCCCCGAATCTCTCGAGAGATGACGTCTTGGAGCAGATGGATGCGGCGATGGAGAGTGAGTCTGTGCGCACGCGTCCCTCGGTTCCTTTGGGGTGACTTTAACGTGGACGTTAGAAAGCACAATGGCTGGTTGGTTGACCACATGCTGAACAATTACTCGATGACGTGTCTGCTCTCGAGTTTCCGACCACGATCAACGGTGGCTTCATTGACTTGGCGTTCAGTAGGAACTGCACGGTCCGCTCCGTCTTGCCGGATCCGCTCACCGTACATTTCTCGGATCACAAAGCGCTGGTACTAACCGTGAGCTACAACGATAACACGAATAGGTATTATTCTGTAGTGTAGTTTGTGTGTGTGTGTGTGTGACGCGCTCGCGATGTGTGCATTTAATGCATCGTACGAAAATCGTGAAGTGTAAATAAATAATACTTCATATATAATGTATCTGTGTACAAATGCTTCATGACAAACAACACTTAAATTCATTAATTACACTTTATACATCATCATCAGTAATAAAACTCCCAAGCATTTCCCCGAGGTTGAACATGGTTAAGTGCGAATGCACGGGGTGAAGCTATGAGGGGGAGTAAAGTTAAAATCCGTTGGCATTTGCCAGTGAGTTAACGTAAACTCCCCCGTGTGATCAAATTGCGATTTCCAGGAACCATTACACCATAAAGGCACCATAGTGTGATTAATAAATATAATAGTGCGAATTAATAAATATCCCTCATAGCATCACCCCGTGCATTCGCACTTAACCATCTTCACCCTTGGGGAAATGCTTGGGAGTTTTTTATTGACACAGCGTGTTTTAGTACATAGTTTTCAGTCTGTTACAATGAATACTTGAGCCGTACTCTTTGTATAATATAAAATAAATAAATGAGGTTGAACTTCGACTACGCCCCGGGGAAGGGCTTAGATGGCGTGTATTCGCAGTGGAGTGCATCAGGCTTGCGTTGTGTTTGAATGATCTAATTCTTGTTCGCTTGCTCACTTGTAAGCTTCAATAGCACAGACGCTCTTGCTCATGTCAGACCTATACACAGGCGAGTTTCTTATTTTTTTTACGTGAAGGGGTCACAGCTGCCAGATGTGTTAGATTGAGAGCGCCGATAGCGGCTGCACGTGCTCTTGCTGTGGCTTCACGTAGTTTTGGTGTCTATGCCTACTTGTGCATGTCTTAGGTAACTACTGCTACCACTGCTCTTTTTCTGACCAATCGGCAACCGTCGCCACTATATAAGTTCAAATAACTGCCGTCAACATAGCTAACGCTGACTAAATGCATATATAAGAAGTGGGAGTTGCGTTGAGCTTGAAGTGGTCACCTCAGACGAAGTGATGAAGAAAGATAACTTCTCTATACAATGATGAAAATAATAGAAAGGTAAGTAACATTCATCATTCATTAGTTGAGATGGTTGTCAACAAATAACAGCCCTCAAGATCACTTACCCGCCAGAGCCTAAGCGAGACGTCACTGCCCCACTCTGTACCCCGCCGCGTTGGTCTAGTACTCGGCTGCTGACCCGCAGGTCGCGGGTTCGAATCCCGGCTGTGGCGGCTGCATTTCCGATGGAGGCGGAAATGTTGTAGGCCCATGTGCTCAGATTTGGGTGCACGTTAAAGGACCCCAGGTGGTCGAAATTTCCGCAGCCCTCCACTACGGCGTCTCTCATAATCATATGATGGTTTTGGGACGTTAAACCCCACTTATCAATCAATGAACTGCCCCACTCTGTGCTGGTGTCACATCCAATCCATTCCATGACCCACCGTCCTCTCAAAATTACATCGCCAGCCACTGCTGATGTCATTACGCCAGCCTATGGGCCATCCATACTATCACAAACAGCCTAAGCATCACAAGGTGAAGCCCAAAAAAGAGCTAGGTATCCCTGGCAAGGCATCACTTGAGTTTTCATAATGCGTTAGGTGGCCCCAAATACTTAAGGGAAAAGCTGTCACTATGACCAGTTCCCTTTGGGGTGGTGCCCTGGCGACTTCTACGCTGTCAATTCATGACCACATGCAGACCTAACGTCGATTTGTGGCGACTTTGCTTGTATTCTTTTTGCTTAGTCAGATATCGTGTATCTCCCGCTCGCCAGGAACAAATGGCAGCAGTATACTAGGTTCAATGTTCCCAAGCATTATCCAGCTTTGCGGCCCGTTTTAAATGCGAAGCATTTCTTAGCGAACTTCGGCGACATTGAACGTATCTATCTATCTATCTATCTATGTATCTATCTATCTATCTATCTATCTATCTATCTATCTATCTATCTATCTATCTATCTATCTATCTATCTAGCCGCCTACGACCTTTAGCTCTCCTGACTGTTTCAATAACGGTATCAATACCAAACTTGATATGGCTTAACATGACTGTATGAAGAACATATTTTACTAGTAATAACATAAAAATCATCACATTACATCAATGTCATTATTTACATATCATGTTCCTGCAGCTCTTGAGGTGATTTCGTTCACATCGCATGTTGCGAAACTAGTATGGTATGACATAATTGCATGGCGAACACAAGCGACAGACCCTAGCATGAAAATTATGACATGCGTGTCTTGTAACAACATGACTACACGCCACGCTCACGATGCGCTCGTGGGCGTTTCTCGAGCGTCACATATACAAAACTTGGTATTACGGTACGTGAATCGATGACGAAGGTATGTGACCGATGCAAACATGATAATCATGAGATGCATGTCATATCACAACATGATTACATGCTACGTTCATGATGCGCTCGTGGCCATTTCGATAGCTTCACATGTCCCAAATTCGTTATTACGTGAGACGAACGGACGACATAGGTAAATGACACATCAAATCATTATAATCACGACATGCGCGTCATGTAACACCATGGCTACATGCTACAATCATGATGCGCTCGCAGCCGTTTCACTAGCTTCACATATGCATGCCGAATTTGAACTACGTCACGTCAATGGTTGACGAAGGTATGCCACTGGTGCAAACTCGATAATCATGAAATGCGTGTCTTGTGACAACATGACAACATGCCACAGTCAAGGCACGAATAAAGTTTGACGTGATGCAGTGCGCGTGGTCACCCGCATTCATTTCGTCGCATCACGCCGGCATTGCCATGTCAGGCGCCGGTCCTGCCATATACTCGCAGGCGAGCGTCGTGCTGCGTTGCTTTGACGTATGCGCAATTGAGCGCTTCCGGCTTCCCTGCATCACGATGCGAGGTAGATGCCGTTTTGTCTGGGTAATGCATCCACGCAAAAAGCAGCACGTGGCGATTCGCTCCAGTTGCCGTTGGGCCGCGCCGACGGACGCTGGTCACACAGGTCGTGCCTAGCGTCAGACTCTAGAGTGCTCGCGCTTTGCTAACGTAGCGTCGCTGTGACCAGCGTTAGCGTGCTTCAACGCTATATAGGAGTGTATCGGGCCCTTCATGATGTGCTCGCGGCCATTTTGCTAACTCCCCATATACCAAATGTGATGTTACGTGACGTCAATAGACGAGAAAAATAAATGAGTGGTCAAACATGGTAATCCTGAAACGCGTGTCATGTAAGAACATGACAACATACCACGCTCATAGCGTGCTCGCGGTCGTCTCGCTAGCTCCACAGATACTATATTTGGTGTCACGTGACGTGAACAGATAACGAAGGTAAACGACGCATCCAAACATGATAATCATGACACGAAAGTCGTGTACGGCATCGTTTACCTACACCTCGTATTGTTGTGCTGATTTTAAAGTTACATATCAACCTATCTCATTCGTCCTTCGCATATAATTGATTCCCACTGTACGTGGGTTCTGAAAATTTTTCGTTCTTGTTTACGCGGCTTTTCAGAAAGTTGTTTAAGCCTACCCATAACGAAGCAATTTCGACGCACCTGCTATCTACATTGTAACTGATGGTATAGGATGATAGAATGGTTTGACGCTGTTCAAAAGCAGGTGGGTACAGCTTGGCCAAGGTGGCCGACAGCGCGCTATAACCTCGAAGACACTGCGATGCCAGATGACGTCCTTGCTTGGCGAGGAATTTGAACTGCGAGCTTGGTTTTATTCATAGCCTAAACAGGTTCGCTGTTAAAGCGATGTCTTTAAAGAAAAACCTCTCTTAACGTGCTCGAAGATGATGTAAACATTTCGTCTCACTGCAGCATCACAGTTTTTCTTGGCACCTTTGCTGACCACCCATTCAAGGCATCTTTGACAGTGATAAAGTTTTGCTCCTATACCTTACAAGTTTAATTGGAAAAGGCACCGTTCGATCGAAGAAAGAAAAACAATACGTGATGTTTGCCAAGAGGAGCCACTGTGACCAACTTCTCAACATGGGCACAATGGCCTACCTACAGCAAATTTGGCTTTAAACAACCCGCGCGCCTCTTTAGATTTTGCCGAAGCAACAACATTGCTTATCGGTTTTGTCACCAAAAAAAAAACAGCTCTGTCTTCTCTGGCTGCATGAGTGGTGTTTTTTATCGTCTTCATGGCTTCATGCTTTTCCTTAATGCGTTTCTGAAGTCGGCGCATTTCAACACAGAATGTCTTTTTGTGTGCAGGCTAACATGTGGACTGGCCAGCCTAACCACGGCTCCATCAGGTGTGGCGATCGATGCGGCTGTTCACTACATCAGCATGTCCTTCAACATCCAGTCGCAAGACATCGGACTGCTCTCCTATACAAACTGGATAATGTGAGTAGCTTGTAACCTTTTGTTTCAATCAGGTGTTTTGGCCGTGGGACCAGCCTTTGTCAGCCGAGGGGCCCACTGTCGAAATTTCGGATGAAACTGTGCTCAAACCCTTTGTACAGTATCAGAACCTCCGACATGCATCCTATAGCCGTCATGCATATACATAGATATAAGGATTAACTGGAAGCACTGCATTAAGAAACCAGCCGCAAAGTATACGTATGCATCTTTCTAACAGGTGAGATTTCTCTGCCAGACTGCTAGATATGGTGTACTGAAGTGAACTGAACATATCCGCCGCAAAGGAACAGCACGTTAAATCCTAGGCGTTAAAGTTGAAAAAGAAAAGTTAACCATTGAACAAGAGGGACATTAGCTGTGCTGTCAGACAGTGGTCTGCAAAAATAAATAAATAAATAATGCTAGCTTATTTTCAATTGGACATTAGAAACAAGTGAATCAAAATGCATGCGTGCTTTACCCACTATTTTTCTTTTTCTCTTTCTATCTTGAAGACAACGGTTTATTTCCGTACAACGTGATCGGCTTCCGACCGTCATTATCGGCCTACAGTGCCATGAAGTTCATAAAACACCTAATTATCAACGTTCAAACGAGAGATGTCAGAGAAATCTTGGGACTAGACCTAGAGAAAGCTTTTGACAATCTCTCTCATGCTCATATTGTCAATTCCAACTCTAGTTTTGGCTTTAGGCCTGCACTACATGCAATCATCATCTCTTTCCTCAAAAGGAGAAAGGTCATGATTAGGATAGAAGATCTGAAATCTGAATCCTTCATTCTTGGCTCTCCAAAGGTGTGCCACAAAGTTCAGTGGTCTCACCCCTTCTGTTCAATACTTCTCCTTGTGAGCTTTCCACGAAACTCTGGCAAATACAAAGCATATGTCATACCCTTGACGCCAATGACATCACTGTTCTGGTGCACGGGTGGCAGTGAGGGTATAGTAGAAGAAACACTCCAATAGGCTGTAGAATACACTGAATCTTCTCTTGGTGATACTGGACTCCGACTCTCTCCAACTAAATCTAAACTTCTGCTTTACAGACCCAATAGAAGGGTTGTAAAGCCTCAAGGCGGCGTCTCTCTTTCAGATATAAATATAGTGCTTCGCACTGGCTCTGGTCATACCGTGCCAAGGATAGAGGTAATCAAAGTACTTGAAATGTTTATCGAGGCAAATGGCACAAATAGGCACACCATAAACAAGCTAACGGGTGAACCGTCAAGCATCATTTGGCTTATCCTTAGGGTCTCGAACTCTAGATGTGGCACTAGAGCGGACAGTTTGTTAATGCTATTCAACGCTTCCTTAATAAACCGAATTATTTACGTTGTTGCCATGCACTGGAGAGGGTTAAGAAGAATCTCCAGATCCGCAAAAGCATCAAAAAAGTGCTGGGGTCCTTCCGAGTACTAGTATGAAGCACCTCATGCTGTTGGGTGTGCACAACACGTTGGGAGAGATCATCGAGGATCAGCATACAAATCAGATGGCCAGGCTCTCCTCCTCAGCTACAGGCAGGACCATCTTGACAATCCTAGGGTATAATGCGGCAGAAGAGGAACGTTTTCAGTCTCTCCCTAAGAAGCAAAGAATGAGCATTATGGTAACTTCGTTCCCCCCCAAAACGTGCACCAGCAGTACAATGCGAACAAATGGAAAGCCAGGGGTTACACATTGCTAAAGAGTGTTCATACAAACCCAGAGTCTGCATGCTTCGTAGGCAGTAGCATTATGGTCTAACAGGCAACTGCTCGGTCGTGGCAGTTGACCACGCAGGTTGCGTTATTTACATCGTGTCTATCAGCAGCACCACTCTCGCTAAAGCTGACCAGGTAACTTTAGCTCTCGCTCTCCTTGACGACTCCCGACAACAAATCTATACAGTCTTGCGAGTGGCGGTGCGAGCCTTTGCATCTGCATCGGAACCGGCTGAAGTAGTTCGCACTTAGGTCATAGGGATATTTCTGAACACGTCACAATTCGGTTTCCGACTCATCTAAAATCGCAATTCACCTCCATGTCAAAACTAAACGCGATCACCCACACACGAGCACGCGAGCCTTCTCACCGTTCTGGGCAGCCTGCGGGGCCTTCAGACTCCAACCTAATAGAATTTAGGGATGGTCTCCTGACTTTCAACAAAGTGACCAAACATTATCAGCTGCACAAAAGGGTCTTCCCCCTTCTGATATGGAATTTTGTAGGGACAAGGCATCTACCCTCCGCATGCTTCAAACCAGATCGCACCCTAGTCTTCGTTCCCACAGCCAGTTAATTGAAGGCATTATTCCAACATGCCCAGATTGTGGTGCCGTACCTACGTTAGACCACATGCTCTGGCCGCACCCCTCATTACGCAATGCTGAGCACATGACCAAAGGGGAATGGAGCTCTGCGCTCAGGAGCTCAGAACTTGCACGTCAACTCTCGGCTGTCCAGTGGACCCACGAGGCGGTGATGAGGCTCGGCCTACTCGTTCCCACATGGGAGCAGCCCCGTGCTCTACCTTCTTGAGGCAGTGTTCTTTATGACCTCAATAACGTTCTTGGTCTTTCTGTTGTCTGCCTTCCTATCTCCCAGTCTCTCTGCTTGTGTGTATGTATGCCTGTGTGTCTGTATACATCTGTTCTTTAATTTTTGTATGGCAATGCGCAACGTTTTTGCTTCATATTTTCTTTCCTCTGTGCCGGGACAGGGACCTTCACTCACGTGTTTAGATATGTGACAATTCTTATAATACAAGCAAAAGCGACCGCCATGCGTGAAACAATGGAATGCAATGATGAAACCATTTTTTAAAATGTTGGAATATGAAATGACAAGTCCCCTCATTATCGGAATTCTGATGCTGCTGATATGGCTTTGAATGCCAGAAGTGACTGATCACGGACAAATCGACGGTGTAAGAAGAAAAGTTATTGAATGGTGCCGTATAGAAATAAGCATTTGACTCGCGCACTATCAAGGACCTAGTTTTGTTCCCCCAGTTCTCCGTGCACTTTATGGTGCCAGCTTTTGCATGAACCAAGCCGTCATTGACACTCATTGTAGGTTCCCCTACGAATGCTTACAAAAAGCGAAAAAAAATTTTACTGTCAAAACAGAAAAAGGCACAGGTCAGCTGTTGCATCAGAGCAGAAATAATGAAACGCAGCGCTGTTGTTTCCGAACAGGCCGATATTGAACGTTCTAAGCACAGTCCATTTTTCAAAGTATGGGTGGCCGGTGTAAAACAACCACACTAACAGCTTATTCGAGGCAACAGTGATGTTAAGTCATTCGATTGCGACACCAGTTAAAAATAAAAAATGACGACGTGCAACTGAAGTGTTCCATGACAACCTGATATGCGACATGATAAGTACAGAGATAGCAAAAAGAAAGAAGATTTATGGCTGAAAAAAAAGAGAAAAAATATACGAGGAAATTTCTTCTCAAAGTAATATTTGAACCTGCATTAGAGGCATCCAAGCACGAGCTGCTAGCAGAGCGAAAATAGCCTGGGAGTGATAAAGGAAAGTGCGGAGATAAGAAAGAAAGGGAGGAGAAGGAGTACAACAAGGGATTAGAAAGCAAAACATAGGAATAGAAGAAAAAGAAAGATACAGCCGGAGAGAACCAGAGGCAAGATCATATAAGATGGATAGAAATGGAGAATCAAAGGAAAAGTGAAAATGAAAGAAACGAAGAGAAGGATTAAGGGGGAAACCAGAAATGTGGACATTGGGAGAGAGACAAATCTGTAAGAGAGAATAAAAAAGGCAGAAGGCCTGAGGATTATAAAGAAACAGAGCAATAAAAATAAAAAATGACAGATCCTACATACACTGGTAATCAATGAGATGCGAAGCACGAATGAGAAAGGTTGATATGCCACTTTAAAATCGGCACAGCATTACGAGGTGGAGGGAAATAATGTCGTATATTACTTCCGTGTCATGATTATTATGTTTTGATGTGTCATTTACCTTCGTCATCTATTCACGTCAGTGATATCAAATTTAGATTATGTGAAGTTAGCGAAACGACTGTGAGCACGCTATAAACGTGGTATGTTGTCATGTTCATACATGCCACGCGTGTCACGATTATCATGTTTGCACCTTTCATATACTTTTGCCATCCATTGACGTCACGTAACACCAAATTTGGTACATGTGGAGCTAGCAAAACGGCCGCGAGTGCTTTATGAAGGGCCCAATATACCAAAATGTAGCGTTTACGCGCGCGCATGCTGGACACAGTGACGCTACGTTAGCAAAACGCAAGCACTCTATAGTCTGATGCCAGGCGCGACCGGCACAACCAGCGTCCGTCGGCGCGGCCTGATGGCAACCGGCGTGATATGTGACATGCTCCATTTCGCGCTGATGCGTTACCAAAACAACACTGCGTATCGCTCTTTTCATGACAGAGGAACACCGGACGCGCTGAAACGCTCATGCGTGAGAGCAACGCAGCGCGGCGCGCACCTAGGAAGGGCCGGTGCCTGGCGTGGCAATGCCGGCGTCCCCCGAAGAAATGAACGCTCGTGAGCTCGTGCACCGTGTCACGTCGATATGTACAGGCGCCTTGACTGTGGCATGTAGTGATGTTCTCATATGACACGCACTTCATGATAATCACTTTTGAATTAGTCACATACCTTCGTCGTGCATTGACATGGCTAAATACCAAATTTGGCATATGTCAAATTAGCTCAATTGCCGCGAGCGCATAATGAGTGGGGCATGTTGTCATGTTATTACATGACACGCTGGTCGTGATTATCATTGCCTATGTCGTGTGTCATTTGCCTATGTCGTTCATTCGCGTCCCGTAATACCGAGTTTGGTAATGTGAAGCTACCGAAACGGCCGTGAGCATATCATGATCATTGCATGTAGTTATGTTGTTACATGACACGCATCTCATGTTATCATGGTTGGACCAGTATCATACCTTTGTCATCCATTCACGTTCCGTAATACCA